GGATGGGTGCTGTATCTGCAAGAAGCCAGCACAGCACCTTGGCCTGGATCACTGACAGGTCCCTGAGTGATCCTCCCCATCTCTCCCACCAGCTCCGTTCTTGGGAGCAGAAGGGGAAGCACCTACAGGCAGAGCAGGAGGAGGGATGATGAGGAACAAGATACTTTCACAAATAGGAAATTCATGTGTGTTTCTGGAAGGCCAAGAACACAACCCCCTGGAGGTGAAGTGCCAAAGACTGAGCCAGCTGGCTACTAGGAGATCTGATCAGTAACTGGAAGGGTTGTGTCTTAATGGTCCCCATCCCTGGTTCATAATGGGCATGGGAGATTTGCATCAAGAAAGAATTGCTGCCAGAAGTGAGGCAGGCCTGCAGGAAGGGGCCCTTCCAGCTCGGTGATAATGGCAATATGGGATTTCTCTGGATGGAGGAAAGCAGCATCAGGATGTTAGCACCCCCCACCACAGGCCCAGGGAGACAGTTCTGTGGATGCATCTCCATGCAGCACTTTGCACAGTGCCCTCTCTCTTCCCCCTGAAAGAAATGAAAGAAAACGGTGGTAGTACCTGTGAAAGAGACTTTTCCTGAGAGTGGATCTTCCTGGGGAATATAGCCCTTTCCAAGAGGGCAGATCTCTTGGTACTCCACTGACCAGGAGGCAGAGGCCAAAGGGAGATGGAAAGAAAAGAAACAGCTCATTAGTGCAACCAAGGTGGAGCTGGTGGGCAGAGTACTGGCCTTGCCTGGTGTAGTGGGGACACAGTCCTACCTGTGCCTGGGATAGGGCAGGGGTAAGTCTCGCAGTTGTCACCCCAGGCTGCCCCCACAGTACAGCAGCACTCCTCCTTGGTGATGTTCTTGGCCAGGACACTGTCACACAGGCGAACGTCACTGATGTGGTAGTAACACTGCTTGCGCTCCGCATTGTCAGAGAGCTGGGCGTGTGTGTCGGAGCCCTCTAGAAGACAGCAGAGCAGGGACGGGATGGGGTACTTGGCACCCCAACGCAGCACCCCACACCTAGGAGGCCCCAGAACACACCTATCACCAGCAGTGTGGCCTTCCCAGATCCCCTCTTTCAGGCTCCTCAGCTCTCCCCAGACACAAGCTTGCCCATGTCTGTGGGAGCTTGTACAGCCCTGTCAGCCCCATAGCTTTATCTCACTCCTGCCAGGGCTACCACGCTCCTGCTTTAGCTGCCATCCATGCTTCTGTCCTAGTTGCCTACTCACCCATGGCAGTTCGGGGCTGGCACTTCCCTGCCTCTGTGTCGTATTCCTCATGGTCGCTGGGGCAGAGGCACAGGAAGGATCCCTCCACGTTCTCGCAAAGGGCAGTTCCGCACACGGCAACCATCAGTTCGCACTCATTCACATCTGCAAAGCAAGGGGCAGTGGTGGGCAGTGGGAGCCCCATCTCTGCACGGGCAGCCTGTGCATGGGCTGCAGCAGGGGGGTCACCCTTCACTAGGGAGATGGAAGCTGCTAGAGATGAGCTGAGAGGTGTGTTCACACCGTGGCTCAACACAAGTCTTGGCAAGAGTTTCATGCCCAGTTCTGAGTGGATTCAAAGAGCCTGAACTCCAGTTCACAGTGGGTCACTGGATTCCAGGATCATCAAGGTTTGAAAGAGACCACTGGAGGTCTCTAGTCCAAGCCTCGGCTCAAAGCAGGGTCAGTTATGGGATCCCATCAGGCTGCTGAGAGCTTTGCCTTGTTGGGTCTTTAAAACCTCCAAGGACAGCAACTGTACAGCCATCTTAGGCATCTGTTCAACTGAAGACTGCCTGTCTTCATGGCAAAAATATTTTTCCTTGTAATACACCCTGCCTGTTCTCTACAGGCACCCATTAAAGTACCTCTCTAGCACCTTCAGTGCCTCCATCCTCCAAGAACCTCCTTTTCACCTGCACAGAAAAGGGCTCCATGTTCACTAGGAACCACTTGCCTTTGCAGAAGCCTGCTCCTTTGCAGTACCAAAGATCTGCTGTGCTAAGGGGGTGGGGGGGTTTGACTCCATGAGCTGCCCTGTCCGTATGTGGGATTCTCCAAGCATGGATGCAGTCCCCATCCATGGTCCAGGAGCCATCACACAGCAGGGACACCAGCCCGGCATCTACCGATGGCTCTCCCAAACCGACTGGCAGAGTGATCCTGGCAGACTCACCAATGCAGTAGTGCCCGGAGGGTGAGCTCTCATAGCCACGGTCACAGAGGCAGCGGAAGGAGCCATCTGAGTTCTCACAGAAGCCGTGGCTCCCGCACAGCGTCTCGTTGGCACACTCATCAATGTCTGCAGCAGAGCAGAGAGCAGGAATTGCCCCAGATCCCACCTCTCCTAATGGGCCTCCCTATCCAGGCCCTTTTGCTCTGACCCCAAGATCTGGGGCTGTCACAGGCATTCTCTTGATGTGAGGGACTGAGTCTGGCTGCTCTACTCAGTCCCTTGCTATGAGTGTGCGTGTAAGAGAAGCTTCCTGCGACATCGAGAGCTGCAAAGAGGCCATGTGAATAGAACAACAGGAGCAGGGTGGGAATGGGAAACGGACGGGAAGCGTGGGAGGTGGCTGGAAGGGGTGACTGAGATTTCCTGCAGAGGTGTAAAGGGATGCAGAGCCTACAGGCTCACACTGGCAGGAGACACAAGCCTGCAGCTGAAGTGTGTGGGGCAAGTGCAGACAGATGTAGGATGATACCTTGCTGCCTAGTTCTACTTGACCTGGTCCTTCTCCAACTGCTATAGTGCCAAAGAGTGGGGTTGAGCAATCACAACTGGGTTCTCTGCCTACAGAGGGCAGGTTTACAGCCCTGCTGTCTATCCTGCTGCCCTCCTACTGCTGCATGGAAGAAATTTCCTTGGAGCAGCCAGAGCAGCTGCGTGTCCACAGCCCACTGTTCCCAAAGCCAGGACCAGCTCCACACGCTGAGTCCTGGCACAGCCCAGAGCCCAGTGGCTGGTAGCAACTCCTCCTTGTTGCAGTGTTCCCTGAGCTGGCGGCAGCATCAAAAACTGCAGAAACCCCTTTGCTCTTTCCTGTTTGCTGAAGCCTGGGCTCCAAACCCATATTCCCCAGCCTAGCACACACTGGCACCAGTAGCCTTTCTGCTCACCCAAGCCTGCCAGGCAGGTGACTGGCACTGGCCCCAGCAAGCACAGTTTACAGGGAGCTGTGGTCCAGCCCCAAACCTGGAATGGCTGTAACCTGCCCAGGACCCTCCCTGAGCGGAAAGCAGCACAATGCGGTGTCTGTTCCAGATGCCAGGAAGAGAGAAGTCTAGATGCAAGCAGGCAGCACAACCAAGAAAACAAACTCTCAGCATTATCTGCCTCTCCACCAGCCACACATTTCCTCCTCCTCCTTCTCCCCTGCACCTCTGGCAGAGGTGTCCCACACCCACCTTGTTCCTGCCAGGGGGAGGGACAGGGACACCCAGGGCTGTACTCACCAATGCAGTCACCCAAGGGGGTCCAGTGGAAGCCAGGCTGGCAGCCCATGATACAACGGTAGGAGCCCAGGCTGTTCTGGCACCGCCATGTGCCGCAGATGGCATCCCCATATTCTTTACACTCATCCACGTCTGCAGGAAGGAGGGCAAGAGGATGAGGATGGTCAGATGGGGACTCTGCTTGCTCACTACAGCACCTGGGTCAACTTCAGTTGGCCAGAGGCCCCGAGCCATTGCCAGTCCTCCACACAGGTCACCAGCAACTTTGGGTGCTGAGAGCAGAACTGTCCTCCCCCCTGCACTGGCGGCATCCATCCCCTCAAATTCCAGGAGGCTGATCTCCCCAGTGATGAGCTCTCACCCACGCAGTCATCGGTCTCCTGGGAGTGCTTGAAACCATTTTCACACAGACACCTGTAGGAGCCTTCTGTGTTCAGACACTGGCCTTGCGAGCACCGGGACTTGTCTGCACATTCATCCACATCTGCAAAATCAGTCCAAAAACATCAACCTGGATCTCACAGGGGAGGGAGCAGAGGGCAGGATCCAAGGTTATATCCTTGCCACCCTTCAGCTTACCTTGGCAGCTGACCCCACCACCCACATTTGAGAAGCCAGGAGCACAAATGCAGAAGTAGGATCCATGACTGTTGAGACACTCGCCATTGGGGCTGCAGATCTCACTGTTCAGGCACTCATTCACATCTGCAGAAGGAGCAGAGTCAGGGTCATGCACCCAGTGCTGGGGGACATCCTTCACCAAAACCACATAGATTCCCTCTTCCCAGTCTCTTATAGGCAGCCCTTGCAGGGCTCCTAGGCCCTGGTTTTCTTGCCATGGAGACAGAAATCTTCCCCGTCCATGGTGACCCTGAACCTTATGGATGTACCATGCACGGTGGCATCACCTGCCTTGGCACTGACATCCTCCTGGCTGAGAAAGAAGGGGGATCCATAGGGAGGCTGTATGTACTGGACCTAGAGGGCTGCAAGGATGGGGTTCATACCTTCGCACACGGTGCCATTGATGAGTTCAAAGCCAGCCTGGCAGTGGCACTTGTAGGAGCCTGGGGTGTTCCTGCACTCTCCCCTCAGGCACTGTACAGCAGGGTCCTCACACTCATCCATATCTGCCAAGCAGAAGGGCATAGCACAGAGTGAGGCGCCAGTTCTTGCTGCCACTGGGGAAGATACCCAGAGAAGCCATCACCCAGCTGCTGGCATGCAAGATGGGTTTGAGCTGCCCTCCCAGACCATCCCATCACAGTGAGAAGAGGGCAGAGACTTCCTGTTACTGGGGTGTGAGGAGTCAGCCCAGACTCTTCACTCCCTTCCATCACAGGGACCAGGATAAACACTGCCCCATCACCATGTCAGTGATGCCCAGTGACAGGACCCGAGGCAAGGAGCACAAACTGAAATACAGAAGATCTCATCTGAACATCAGGAAACACTCTTTTACTGTGAGAGTGACTGGGCACTGGCATAGATTTCCTAAAGAGGTTATGGAGTCTCACTCCTTGCAGATATTCAAAAGCCATCTGTACATGGTCCTGGGCAGCCAGCTCTTGGTGGCCCTGCTTGAGCAGGGGGTTGGATAAGATGACCTCCAGAGCTCCCCTCCAACCTTGGACATTCAGTAATTCTGTGAGCACAGTGATACTGCTAACCTCAGTGCCTATCTCCAGCAGAGCTCTGCACTGGGTACCAAAACCACCAAGAAGCCAGCGCAGAGCCACAGTTGCTGACCAGTCCTCTCTTCAGACAACTGCACAAGAGCAAACATCACTAATGCAGCATCAGCCCTACCTTCTGAGGTTCTGCTTTCCCACCTGCCAGACTTGCCTACATCTTTTTCATGGCAGCTGGTGTGCAGACAGCATAAGACATGCTAGTGACAGAAGCCCTGCTCTACACTACACCTCTGACGCGAGCTCGAGACCTCAGACTGGCAGCTCCTGAGGGCAGGGAGGGATCTTTTCCCCTTTGCAGAGCACTGAGCATGCCACAGGCATGAATGAGCTTCACTCCCTACTGCGTCAGGGCAGGATTACCAGATTTCCAGTCTCTAAGGGTTGCATGTAGCAATATGATTGAATCCTTCTGGAGATGAGATGAACCAAAACCTAGTTTATTTACGAAAAAACTATCACAAAACTCTTATCATTTTTCAAATATAAAATCTAAACTCACAGACAAGGCCATCAGCCAAGGCAGGGAAGAACATGCCATCCTGCCATCGGGACAGTATGACCCAAACAGTATCAAACCCTGATAAGCCTGATATGGCTGGGGCAAGGTGGCTAAGAAGGGGGGAGCTCACGTGGAGTCTTGGGGAAAGGGGAGGGCAGATACAAGGCATCAAACCATGGTTCTTTCATCACATCCAAAAATCAAATGGAAAATAAGCTCATTTCACACTGGCTTTCTCAGATGCCACACCAGAGGAGAATAAAAGGAGGAAAGCCTCCCTCTCCTCCCCCACTGGAAGCCCCCATGCAGGGGGTCCTTCCTAGAGTCACATAGAAGGCAAGATCTTCCATTTGCTGGCTATGTGCAGGCTGCACAGCTCTGCAGTGCTCCAGAAATTCACAGCACGTGGCAAATTTTTAAACAAATACTTTTGCTGGCTCTGCCCTCTCCCTTCCCTTGCTCCAAACAGGGAATTTTCGTCAAGCCATCTCAAGCCCAGGACACCCCCCAGGGCAGCTGCCAGGGAAGGCACTTCCCTGCCTGTGCTGGGACAGTCAGGCTGTAAGGCTGGAACCGAGTGCTCTCATGTCTCAGCAATGCAACCAACACTAATCAATGCTGGTGTTACCTCTCTGCCAGCATACCACACACAGCAGAGCCCTTGACCTAAACTTTTCTTTTTAAACATGCCCAAGTTACATTAGGAGCTGGGAAAAAATGATGAAACTTGGGTGCACACAGTCTCTCCATGGATGCTGGACCCAAAGTTTCTCCTTCTCTTGAGGATCTACATTTGGGACATGTGCTCCCAGGTACACAGTTCTGAACTGAACTGCACACAACTCCTCCCTGCCATTGTTTCCAGGCCTTCTGTACTCCTCTGGCCTTTGTCAGCATCTCCTAAATCATCATTAGCCTGGGAGTCTTATCAACGAGTCCTTCCAGCCCCATCCCTTTCCCGTCTGAGGAAAATTACCTTCCTGCTGCACTAGATGACATCTGCTTGCAATCCTCCATGCTCCCTATTGAACAGAAAGCTAAAGAGCTGGAAAAGGATCCTGATGCTAAAGAAGTCCTCTTGCCCCACCAGTAACCCAGCTATGGCAATGTCTCTTCCCTCATTTCCTCCAGCACCCACTCCTCTGTCCCTGGGAAAGGGATACCTTCACACGTGCTGCCATCTCTGGAGACAACATAGCCGGTGTCACAAGCCATGCAGGAATAGGAGCCCTCAGTGTTGAGGCAGAGTCCAGAGGGACAGGTAGCCTGGGCTGTGCACTCATCGATGTCTGCATAAGTACACGAGAGAGAGTGGGATGAGTGGAAAGGATGCAGAGCAACCATGATCAGGGGCACATGTTTTGCAGGAACCAGCCAGCATGGTGGCCAGTAGTCAAGCAAAGTACTCAGGAAGAGCCTGGGAAAACCTCTGGACTGAGTGTATGACACTTCAGAGGGTCTGGACTCATAGCTTCCTGGCCAGACCCTTCAGAGGGTCTGGACTCATAGCTTCCTGGTACCTTGGCAACTCTTCCCGTCAGGTGTCACCTCATAGCCCCAATAGCAGGAACAGCGGAAGGAGCCATCCAGGTTGATACAACGTCCGTGAGCACAAGTCCCCTCCACAAGACACTCGTCCACATCTGTGTGACACAGCAGAAGGCAACATGGCATTAGAGGGTGCACATGGCAGGCCCTGCCACCCAAGCCATGAGGGCACTATGCCCTGGCCATGTAGGCTGGCTGCTTGCAGGAGAAGGATGCTGCCTGTGCCCTTGCTGCTTTTGAGGCTTGCAGGGAACACTGCCAGCAGGGGAAAGGGTGCTGTCCAGATACAGCCCAAGCTCCTCACCAATACATCTCCCGTTCCTGGGCCGGTAGCCATCCCCACAGCTGACACACTTGTAGGATCCCAGTGTATTGACACACCTTCCACTGGGGCAAGAGCTGGGAGCCATGCACTCGTTGACATCTGCCAAGAAACACTCCTTTCAGGCTCCCAAAAGCAGACAGTGCAGCACTCTCCAGTGTATCCCCTTCAGCTGGATTCTCAGAGTTCCCCTCTGGGGCACAGTGATGGCCAATAGTTGAGACGAGTTTGCTGGGGCGTAGGTAAGACTTCTTTTAGCCCCACTCAGGATCTTACACCCACACCTGAGGGCTGACATAAACCAGCAGTGATACTCACTGCTGCAGGATGTTGCTAAGGCCAGGAATGTGCCTGGGCAGAGAAAAGCATCAGAGAACACCTGTGCAGGGCTGTTTCATCAGGGACTTTCATAACTATGATTAGGATGCAGCCTCCAGGTCAGGAAGCACTTAAGGCAAGTGCTTTCTAGAGGCCGTGTGAGGGGGAGCAGCATTCTGTGCATGCCCTGGTTCCTGTACTGCCTCCTTAAATAGTCTCACACTTGGTGATGGAGATGAGCTACTGAAAAGGGGGGATCTTTGATCAGGCACATCATATATTCACAAGGGTGAAAACCCTGAGGGGCCCAGGTTGTGCCATGTGAATGGGATGCAGTAGGGACAGGTGACCTGAGTCTCTGCAGCCTGCTCTCCCTGCAGTCTACTTGCCAGCACGAGAGTTTGGTGACAGAGTCAAGGTGGCATGAAAATATATAGGCATGTACTCCCAGAATGGGAAGCTGGCATGGGCTGGTCGTGGGAGATCTCCCTGGGGAGGTGGGAGAGGATCTCGGGAGAAATCTCTTCTCTCCGCCCAGGAAAGCCTGTTCTTCCTGCATTCAGAGGAGAGGACAGGCAGCCCTCGGGGAGGGCACAGAGCAGACCAACATGAAGGTGCCCTTCCTGCCTTCCAGGAGGAGACACAAAGTGATGAGGAAAGGGGGTGATCAGCTGTGCACATGGTGGGTTGGAAGGGCAGGGGAACGCAGAGCAGCAAGCTTCACCTTCGCACTGTCCTCTGGGGCCCATGGCAAAGCCCTCCTTGCACTGGCAGCGGTAGGAGCCAGGGGTGTTGATGCATCGCTGTCCTCGGCAGATAGAAGGCTGCTCACATTCGTCTCGGTCTGGCAACAGACAGGGAGACCGCCTTGAGTCTTCTCCCTCCAATGTCAGAAAGGCCGGGTGCAGGAGAGGACTTGCTCCACCTGCAGCTGGCTGTGCCCAAGAGACCAGTGCTGGGGCTCTCCTCCATCCCCCATCTACCCTTGCCAAGAAGCAGTAATCAGGGCTGGCATCACAGACTCCTGCCTGGATCATCATGGGCAAGATTGTGCCCCTGAGCAAGCAGGAGAGGGTGATCCCCACGGATCAAGCTGTCCATGGGCAGGCCTGTGGGAAGGGAAGGTGTGCAGGTACTCATACACTGTGTGCACGAGTGCAAGTGTGTGTGCACATTAATGAGAGAGGGTGAGGGTGACAGAACATTGAGACCCTTGGGGAGGTGGCAGCCCTGTGCCAGGTGGACACCACTTACCCTCACAACTCTGCTTGCCCTCCAAGACAGCCAGGGTATACCCAGAGTAACAGAGGCAGAAATAGGAACCCACACTATTGATGCAGCGACCTCTTCCAGCACAAGGGTCTTTCAGACACTCATCTTCATCTGTGCCCAGGCAGGGAAGGAAGACAGGCAGTCACCACCTGCAGCTGCCTGCCAGCTCCCTACCAGCCCTGCAGTGCAGCAGGTGGGCAGGGGCTCAGCAGAGCTGCCAGAAAACTTTCCCTCAAGAGCCTGAAGGACTGAATGAACTGTTGAGGCCTTTTAGGCAGAGCAGGTGCAAACCTACCGATGCAGTGAAGGCGGCTGGCGTCCAAGGTGTAGCCAGGATGGCACAAGCAGCTGTATCCCTCTGGGGTGAGAACGCAAGCACCGGCTCCACAGGAGAGGGGTGAAGAGGCACAGCTGCTGACCCCTGGGATAAGAGAACATGGGATTTGGGGGCAGCATCAAAAGGATGCACAGAATCCAGTATCTGCTTTGTGTCCCCAGGACCATGCCCATGCTGGGAGGCTGCTTTTTCCCTCCTTGCACAGTGATGTTGAGCCTGCTTCTCTCCTTCTTTATGCAGCCTGCACCTGCAGGGCTGCAGGGAGGACACAGCAGACCCTGCCACTTACTCCGACTCTTCCAGCCTGAGCCCCCCCGGGACCCCCCTGCTCATCTGCACCTTGGCCTCAGAAAAGGGTAGTGAAGAAGCCTACGGCCCCATGCCTTGGAGGAGGGCTGGCAGCAGAGGCTGGTACCTGTGATGGGGCTCCTTTAGGGGT